AATTCATCATCTTTTATGATTAGGTTAGTATCTAATATATTATTGTTAATTAGAAAGAATTTGGAGAGGATAGATATGGATAGATAGTAGGTATAACCTGATAATTATGAGAAGAAGTAATCGGGTAGGAGTTGAGACACATATGGTAGGTGTATATAGTATTCACTATAGTCCAGTTTGATTGCTAATCTTAGTGCATAGTTAAAGTTATTGTATTGTATAAAGTTGTATTGGTAGATGTGTTTTAGAAATGAGTTAAGTGTTTGTAGATATGGAAGTAAGGGTAGCTTTAGACATGTTAACTATTGATTATAGCAAGAGTCTAGATCATATAATGTATTGTGAGTTGGTTTTTACAGAGCTTCCTTGATGTGAGATGATGAAATGGAGTTCAAGGAAATAGAAAATTCTTTTGTAATTTCACTCACCATATGCTCAGCTTGCACAGCTGCAAAGAGTACCATAGCCTACTCTGTACATTGAGTCTGGCCATCATTAACTTAGTTTTTCATATATTTTGTCTATATTATAAATAACTAAAATATTCATTAGCTAAATGTAATTTTATATTGACTAGTAATCTTCTTTACTAGTACTTATAACAATAATTTTCATTTTTTTTACTAATGTTATAATTATTCTATACTTTTTTTTGAGAATAACTATCAGAATTAGATTTGTTATTAATTGAATAAAAAACTAAATAATCCTTAGTATTGCTAATAAAAATTGAATTATTATCAATATTATTTAATATATTAAGTAAAAATTATTAAATCAGTTGTTTTGATCTTAGTTCCAATTTATAATAATTTTACTTTTATGTAATTTGATAGTTTAAAGGTAGAAACAAGTATTTTAAAATTATATATAACCCTAATTATAAAATTTTTTATATTTAATTTTATAAAAAAATATATTAAATAAACTAATTTTAATTATTAAGTAAAAGTTATAAAGTAGATATTATTGATTCTAATAATAGTAAAATTATTAAAATAAATTAAAAACTTATTAAGAAATAAATTTTTAAAGATTAGAATATAAAATTATAGAATAAAATTAACTAATAAATTTATATAAATTAACTAAACAAATTTTTTATTTTTGTATTATCTAAATAAATTTTAACCTATCTAAATAAACTTTATTATATATACAAGTATATTTTTTTAAAATAATACAATATTTTAAAATTTTACTATAATAGATAAATAATCTTATTTATAATATTATAAAATTTTTTTATTGATTAATAAAAAAATAAAAAAATTTTATTAGTAGTATATATCAAATTTTAAATGAAAATGTAAATATAACTATTGTTATAGATAAAAAATTCATGATGGCACATGCATTATGATATGTAGCATAAGTACTAATCAGGACTAGAGTATCCAAAAATCTGCTTTTTTAAGCTATAAAATTATTATTTTTGTTTGACAATTTCTGTATAATCTGCTTAACCAATCAAAATTAATATATTGTTTATCATTATTAGTAATTGTTATTTATTAGTATTGTTATTATATCACTTACTAAAATTGTTTTATGAAAAAGTGTAAAACTTAATTATTATTAATTATTGTTAGTAAATTAGAAATTAAAATTAAAAAATTTAGTATAAAACATTAAATATATGTATTAATAAATCTAATATTGTTTAATTTTAAAAGTTTATATTTTAAAAGTTTATAAGTTAAAATATAAAAAATTTAATTTTTTAATGGATTTTTTAAATAATATATATCTATGATCATTTAAAAGATTTTTATAATCACTAAAGCTTCTTTTAACATCTATATCAAAAATAGAAAGCCAAATATATATTAATGTTATTTGTGCTAAATTAGATAAAGTTTTTTGTTTTTCTCTTTAATATTTATTTAAGTTTAATTTGTTATCTATTAATTCATCTAATCTACAATAAATTTCCCATTCTATTATAATATTATTAGATGGATTCTTAAATTGAGAAATAGTATTATATAATGCAAGATTATGTCTACTATTAGAATTATGAATATAAGAAGGATTAAAGTATTAAATTAATTTAAAAAAAGGTATGTTAAATGTGAATTAATATGTTTGTTAAATTTTTCTAAAGCTAATTTAAATGCTTCTAAAAAAATATTTTTTAAATTATTTATATCAAAATTTAAATTTGTATTTGTAAAATCATTTCATTACTAAATGATAAATTATTAATACCATTTTGTAAAAAAGCTTGTATTTGTGTTAAACATGTTATAACAAATAGTGCTACTGGTTTGTCTTTAATTTTAAAAAACTCCAAATCTGTTATTAATCTATATACATATAATATATATTTAAAATTAATTAATATATATAAATAAATAATAATTAATTATAAAAATTATATTACCTTTGTACATTAAAATTAATAAATATTATTAAAAATTTTAAATTAGAAACCTGATCATTTTGTTAAAATATATTAACTAATTCTTTAATTGAAATTTATTTTCAAAGAAAGATTTAAAATATTCAATATAAGAGGTTGTCTAATAAATAAATCTAAACCAAAAATTCTATCTTGTCTTAATAGATAAAGGTGAAAGTATAATTTTTAAATTATAATTATTTTGAATTTAAGTATAAAAACCATCTTTTTTTTCTCACTATTGAATGTGAAAATATAGTTTTAAAGTTCTTAACAAATTGATTAACTAAATTAAACTTTTCAAAATTAACCCAAGTTTTGTCAACTAAGTTAAATATATGTGCCAAACAAATATTATAATATAATATAAAAAAGAATACTATTAAATGTTTTAATAATATAGCTTACATTATTAGTAATAAAAAAAAGTAAATGTTCATAAAAAATATTATATAAAAAAATTATATTAAGAATTACTTTAGAAATTGTACTATAATTAACAGTATCAAGGAAATGTGTTTTAGCTAATTTAATATTATTTTTATAACTAAATAGTATATTAACTACATTATGATCATAATTATCTGAAGTTTCATTTACTGTAATAAAAATATACTTTCCTACTAAATTGTTTTTTAATTTATTAACTTCTGTTTTATATATAATTGGTAAATAATATTATCTTAATTGATTAACACCAACTATTTCATCTCTTATATTATAAAATTAATTAAATATAATTTAAATTAATATTATAATATAAAATACTTAAAATAAATTACTATTTTTATAATATTTTTTAAAAAAAAGATGAAGTTTTGTCACTTTCTCAAATGATATATTAGCAGTGACAAATGTTTTAATAAGATCAAAATTAATTTCTTGTTTTTCAAATAAATTTGATAAGATTGTTTATAAAGATTCTTTATAATTTTTCATTTTTTATTTATTATTATAATGTATATTGAATTTTAAATAATCATCTACAATGGATTTTTTATTTGCATTTACAATGTATTTGAAAACAATGCAAAATAATTTTTTATTATAAAGATAAAATTCTTGTCGATAGTCTGAATATTTGTTAATCAGATATTTACCAATAATCATTTTACCAAAAAATTATTAAAATTTGAATTTATTAATTAGCTTTGCTCAAGTAATTTACTAATTATAAATAATTTAAAAATATATTACTTACCAAATTCACTAGTTCAATATCAAAAAAATTGTGATTCATTTAATATAATAATTGGTAAACAATATTTACACTAATTACTATATTTAGACATCTATAATCAATAATGATGATTCTGCTTTTTCTGTTTTTTTTAGACAGAATCAGCAGAATTTTGTACATATTTATGCAGATTCTGTGTAGGCAGTAAGCTAGACACTCTAATTGGGACCCAGGATCGAATATGCACGATCGACCCCACAACAGTGAAACGTGCATAATCGTGCCCTCAACGCCCAAAATTCCCAGCAAGATGAATATATCCAAATCAGGGAAGGCATAGGGTCGTAAATACGGTGTTTCAGAGTGGCGGGATCCAGGTGGTAAAAGGGCAGGTTAGTATAGTTATAATAAAATAAACTAAAAGTAAAACCAACAGAATCAATTACTTACCCGGTTTAGGTGAAACCCGCAGTGGTACGATTATATAGTGGCGAAATTGTGGGAAAATAGGAGGGGAAGCTAAATTAAATAGGGAAACTGTTAGTAATACCGAAAATGTATAAAAAAGCATAATTTTAATAAAGTAAAACTTATCTGGGTTACGCCCCAAGTAGGGAGAAAGGATAGAAGTCGTCATAGTAATAAAAAACTGTATACTCGCCAAATCTTATCCACGCCTCGAAGCCTTGTCCCGCCGATTTCGTACCGTTACGCGACGTCTAGTTAGTAGAAGCGACAGACTCGCCGTTTACCCGTCGCACTATATAAAAAGGATCTACATGACCCTACCCTTAATTTTAATCAATGTTTTTAATTAGCAGTTATAATTAGTTATATCGTTTTCATTTTAACAATTTTAACTACGATATATGTTAAATATGTGATAAAAGTCAAAACATCGTAACGATAAAAGGTTATATTGGTATCACTAGTAGATAGCCAATCATTTTCACATCTTTAGTCCTCCAAAAATTGCTTGCACAGTTTGCAGTTATGCCAGTAATACAATTACGTACATCAAAAAGCCCAAAGGTTATTAATATTTAGACATGTCGGACATTTGAGGTTGTAAAAGAATGAGATTTTTAAACGACCCCAAAAAGTGAGCAAGGAAATAAAAGGATAGAGAGCTCGTGTGCTAAAAGAATAATATTTTCCGAACAAACCGATTTAGTCATCTTATGATGCCATGTACCCTTGGGTTCTAATTTGCCGAAAAAATTCAACTCGCAGGAAAATTTGCCTGGAAACGGTTTCAAATTTACAATCTATGTAATCTGACCAATAACGGCGAGTTATTTTAATCTCACCTATATGGTAATTCATGTGATTACTGTAACACAATCAAATCAAAGATCTATAGCTATCGTAATACTGTACATACGTCTTAAGTGCTTTGTCCAAATTACAGTACGCATGAATTGTCTTCAACGAATTATTTCTCTTTCAAACTTTTCCAATAAAAAATTCATCTCATTAAATACATTAATAACAAATCAGAGATGTAAATTATCGTTTTTATCTGTGACAAAGGTTAATATCAGAAAGTTTAAACTCTAATTTTGATCTAATTACGTACCGTATAAAATCCGAATAACATCAATGTATAGGCTCAGAATCTTTTACAACAGAAGAAAGTGACATCAACAGCTTTAGTCAAGGATTGTTTTTCCCAAATAGTGAAACATAATGCTCATTTGAATGCATTCATAAAAGTACAAAATGAAAACGTGGCATTAGAAAAAGCTAAAGAAGCAGATGATAGATTTATTAGAGGTTACTAATTTCCCAAAGATGATTTTTTTTTTGTTTATTATAGTATTGATAATTTACGAATATATCTACAATATATCAATATCAGGAATTATTAAAGGACCTTTAGATGGAATACCCATCACATATAAAGATAATTTTTGCACTAAAGAATTACCAACCACATGCGGATCTAAAATGTTAAAAAGTTGAGTAGTTCTGCATGAAATTTCAAATTGTTTTTAACCAAGAAATTAAAATAGTGAAACTTTCACTTTAAAAGATTTTATATCGCCTTTTAATGCAACCGTTGTAGATTTGCTACAAGATGCTGGTGCAATAATGGTTGGAAAAACTAATATGGATGAATTTGGGATGGGGTAATCTTAAATATCGATCATTATAAATTTTCTTTTAAAATGATAGCTTTTTTTATTTATTTTTTTAATATCAAATCAATAATGTCAAAGTTCAGCAAATATGTACAGTGCATTTGGACCAGTTTATAATCCTCATGTAATTACTTCTGACAAAAAAGGTTCCATTGATCAAGAACGACGAGTTGCTGGTGGAAGTTCTGGTGGCAGTGCTGCTGCTGTTGCTTCTGGAATGTGCTTCGCGTAGGCAACAATACAATTTGGCGCAATAGTAGTTCTCTTTTCATAAATTATTTGCTTTATTGTGACATAAAAACAGTTCTCTTGGATCTGACACAGGTGGTTCTATACGCCTGCCTGCTTCATATTGTGGTGTTATAGGTTTCAAACCTTCATATGGTCAATGCTCACGGTGGGGACTAGTTGCGTATGCTAGTTCATTGGATACTGTGGGTATAATAACGCGAAATGTTCTTGATGCACAACTCATGTATGGTCTGTTGAATCTATGAAATTAAGAACCTACGAATAATGTTGAATAATACTTTAGAGACGAAAGTCATTTTAATCCCTTTATTTTTAGATATAATATCAAAATATGACGAGAAAGATCCATCTTCACTTCCGCCAAAACTACGCTCAATAAATACCTCCTTGGCTTCATTTGATAAAACAAACTCTACTAATTTGAGTGAATTACGCGTTGGCATACCACAAGTAATTCATCATCTTAATTTGTTCTTAATTATAATCAATACCTTTATTATTTTGACCATCTTTTATAGGAATATTTTGTGTCTGAACTAAGTGATCCGATAAAAAACTTATGGCAACAAGGAATTTCTCTTCTTCGTTCTCATGGTGCAACAATTGTGTCTGTATCTTGTCCTAGCACCAAATATGCATTGCCTGCTTATTACATTTTGGCTCCAGCAGAAGCTTCATCCAATTTGGCACGATACGATGGTGTTCGATATGGTATTATTAAGAATTTTTGATATACAGTATTTCCTTTGTAATATGCTTATTTCGATTATTTAATCTAAGGTCATCGAAGTGATATGGATTCTACTCAAGAAGATGAACTACTTTACGCACATACACGAAGCGAAGGGTTTGGTGAAGAAGTTAAACGTCGTATTTTGTTAGGAACTTATACATTAACTGCCGGGTAGCAAAAATTATTCAATGCCTCCAATAAATTTTCTTCGTTTTATGATGTCTAATTCAGTTTCATTATATAATATGTGTAGATCTTATAATAATTATTTTCTTTGTGCTCAGAAAATCCGAAAAATGGTCCAATCTGATTTTGATTCCGTTTTTCGAAGACCAAATCCTCTTCACCTCATCAAAAATGGGTCGTCTCTTTACAATCGTAATAATGACGAAATTATAGAAATATCAGATCATTTGAGAGAAAAACATAATGGTGTGGATGTGATAATGACACCAGTTGCAATTTCAACATCTCCAAAGGCTAAAAATTCACTGTCATCAACCTTATCTAATTCATCTTCATGCGCTAATACTAATAATACAAGAAGTTTAGATGGTGATAATAGTTTTGTGAATGCTTATGTAAATGACGTTTTTACTATACCTGCAAACTTGGCCGGTAAGTTTTATCTATATTAAAATGTTTATTATAAATTGTCACAATTTGAAAAGTATAACCTTATGCAAAGAATTATTATAACCACATTTATAGGAATTCCAGCGATGAGTGTGCCTTTTGGCATTTCACCAATTGATGGATATCCTATTGGATTACAATTGATGACACAATATGGTGATGAATACACTTTGTTCAATATTTCAAAAATTTTGGAAAATAATAGACAAAATTTTCTTTAATCGTAGCCAAAATGAGGTTTTAAAAAACTCTAGCAAATATTTGTAATTCTTTTTTTTTAAATATTACAAAAATACAAATTACAATTTTGGTGACTATGCAAAGTAACTAATAATAGTAAAGTTCTATATCAACTATTTTGTTCCTTTTTAAGTTATTATACTGAAATTATATAATCCCGTGCCATTGATATTAATATTATTAGTTTTAATATTGTATAAAAATTTTTTTAACCCGTTTTCGCTGAAAATAGTTCTGAATATAGAAATTGGCATTAGTGATACCCCGCCATTGTGTCATTTTTAGGACCGACTGTGACGTAGGCACAGGAGGGATATTATCGCGAGGATCACCTGATCTTATGATCATTACGGTTATGAGATCATTGATTAGCGAGTCAAAGGGAATTTGCATGATTTATTAGGTCATTAACTAACAAGTCAAATGGAAATTGCATAAATTATGAGATCATTGATCCAGGGGTTAAATTAATATTAGGTCATTGATTAGCGAGGCTAATGATA